TGGCAGAACCATCTGAAAGTGTCTCGCCTAAAAAGGTGGGACTCGCTGAGCGCAATGCACGCATGGACCAGTTGCGCACTCAGCTCTCGGGGATTTCCCTGACTGGCCAGTTAGAGCCTAGCCATGCGCTGTTGGACATGACAGTTCAGCAGTGGGAAAACCGATGCCTTAAGTACATTGGCCCGGAAAAATGCCACTGCCGCGAAGAGGAAGTTCAGAACTTGAAACCGTTGACTACCAGCCTTTCTCTCGAAGGGGGCAAACTCAAAGTTACGGAGTCTTCTGGTGTGGAAGATCGTGACATAGAGGGCTCTCTCCAGGTGTTGAACGCCCTTAGACGGCGCGGAGTCGCATATGCCTTTGCCAGGTTGATCAGTTGGGACAAGCATGAGGCCTACGTCTCTTCGCTTTTCAAGTACCTCACAAAACCAGCTCAGCAAGGTTATCGTAAGGTCTCCCTGCGGCAGATTCTGCAAGCTGACAAGTTGGCTTTCGCGAAGATGTCCGAGGCAGGAGCGGATGTTCGTGCAGACGCGTCTGGGACTTTGCCTTTGGATGCCAGGATTTCTTCGGTGCTGCAGGATTACGATTTGATTGTTGCGCTCCTCCCTTTGGGGGATTTGGAAGGTGGAGGAAAGTTGCGCTTAGGAAAAGGAAACCGTAGCCATCCGTACGAGAATGCTCCGAACAAAGGAAAGCAGGGCAAGGGAAAATCTTTTTGGAGCCCTAGGGGGCAAGCCCTCGCCCAAAGGCAAGGAGAAGGCTGGAAAAGGGAAAAGTCACGGGGCTGGTAAGTCGGAATGGCTACCTGAGGGCCTGCGTTACCAGGGAGCGTCCGCAGCCGAGTGATGCGAGCATAATGCATGATGTTTGACTGCGAGAGTGTTCATACTTGAAGTGCTCAAACATGACACGACATTACAAGACAAGCACGATCTTTGAACAATAAGCACTAGCCTTAGACGAGCTCGCAGCCATCCCTCACGCCACTGGCCCACACTTCGTCCCAGGCAAAACTGCCGAGGAAGACGAGCCAGACGATGCTGCAGAAGGCGACACCGACCAGCGACAGTTCCACGACCTCCTGGCCTCACAGGACTACTGCCTCCCGCAGAGCTGGATGGAAAAAGCACCTCACAATAGACACAGCGACCTCGTACAACTCGACCACGCCATTATACACAAGGACTGGCGCAACATCATCCACGACATCCATATTCTTCCCGGCGCAGCCCTCAACAGCAACCACTACTTGGTCAAAGTCGACCTGCAGCTCCGCACCAAAGAGGCCAAACGCACACCCCCCAAACCACGCCGCACCAGAACCCCCACTGCCGCACAGCGGCAAGCCTACAACAACCACATCAAGCAACGCCTGGATGCCATCACCCCTACCACAGCTTCCTCTCCAATCACAACCACATGAGCAATGGCAGAGCCTCCAGGCGGCGACCAAGGAAGCCATTAGCGACCACATCCCAACCACCGCGTCCTTCCCCAAACACCCCTGGATCTCACAAGCTACTTGGCAGCTCATACAGCAACGTTCCGCCGCACGCCTCGCTGAGAGATTTGTGAGGCCCAACTACACAAAGACATTAGAAAGCAAGCCCGCAAAGACAAAACAGCGACTGGCCGAAAGCGAGGCCACTCTTGACCCTCGCCAAAAATGGAAGTGGATCAAGAGAGTTCGCTCAGACTACAAGCCCAGACCGGTCTCCATTAGAGACTCACAGGGCAAGCCCACCAGCCTCTCACAGCAAGCCCAAACCTTCGCAGAATACCTGCGAGACTCACACTGGGCAGCTCCACCTACACCTTACACTGGCCCCACAGACCCAAGACACCCGGCAGCAGCAGTGGACCTCTCACCCATCACCACAGCAGAGCTCAATGCAGCACTTAAAGAGCTGGCGCACAACAAAGCAGCAGGCCCCGACAGCATTCCTCCTGAAGCATGGCAGTGGTTAGACCACCATAACCAAGAGGCTCTCTTGCGGGTCCTCAACCAAGCCCTGCTCACAGCCACCATCCCGGATGACTGGCACCATGCAATTGTAGTCGAAATCTACAAAGGCAAAGGTCCCCTCACTGACCCTGCCAGCTACCGCCCCATCTCACTTTTGAACACTTCCTACAAACTTTTCGCCAAGATCATTCACGCCAGACTCCAAGCAGCCCTGGACGACAGACTCAGGGAAGCCCAATACGGGTTTAGGGCGACACGCTCAACATCCCAGCCTATTCACATCGTCCGCCGTCTCATTGAACGTGCGGAGGCCACAGGAAAAACACTTTACACCATCTTTCTCGACTGGGAGAAAGCATTCGACAAGATACACCCGGACGCCTCCTCACAGCGTTGTCACGCTACGGCGTCCCACCACATCTCACAGCCCTCATCAGCAGCATCTACACTTCACCACAATTCACAGTGGTAGCGGCTGGGAAGCAAAGCGCCAGGGAGGAAGCCAGCGCGGGCATTCGTCAAGGATGCCCGCTCTCACCGTACCTGTTTCTCATATTTCACGGTATGGTAATGCACGATGTGGACCGGGAACTCACAGCTCACGGCGGGTCTCTTCCATGGCTGTGCAGCCAAAACCAGCCCTTCTACGACCTCGCTTATGCGGACGACACAGCACTCATCGCAAGCACGGCTCACAGAGCAGAACAGCTGCTCCACATCCTGCAGCGGATTGCGGCTCACAGCAACCTCCACCTGAACCTCAACGTTCTACACTTGTCGCCAAAGCCCGCACGCACTTTAACTCTCTGCACTAGTTCTGGCGCAACACCGACCTCACACTGAAGTGGAAGTTACGCATTTACAATGCGGTCTTCATTCTGCTCGTAACATACGGGTTGGAATCAGCAGCGCTCACAAAAGGCGATCTCAACAGACTCGAAGCTTTCCACTCACAGAGTCTTCGAAAGATCCTCCACTTCAAAAGCACTTACTACACGGAGGTGCTCAACCCCACAGCCCGCGCATACACCAACCAAGAGGTGAGAACACTCACCTCACAGCCTCCACTCACTCACCACATCCACAAAGCACAGCTGAAACTTTTCGGGCACATTCTTCGATCCCATCCGAACTGTATAGAACGGAACTGCTGCTTCACTAGCGCTTTTCAGTACAGAGGTGGTGCGGTAGGTGCTGGCCTAAGGCCAGGCAGGAGGAGAGTTCACTGGACAGAACAGTGCGCTACAATTCTTTGGCACTGGCTTTTGAAGTCCTCCAGACCCCCTGCCTCTCGCAGCCCTACCTTCCCATACTCTTATCTACAAGCTCACAGAGCTGCTGTAGACCGCCACTTTTGGAGTACCCTAGTGAGGTTGCCAACGTGCAAGACACTCCTAGAAGCACACTCCTACACAGTCTTCTCACAGCCTTGAGTTTTCTGCGGAGTTGCTGCTGAGCGAGTTGCGTAGGGCCGCCCAAAAAAAACGTCTTATTGGTTTGAATTCGTCTCAGCCGACCATCGAGCTGCAAGCGCACCTCTGTGCTTGATTGCCATGGGTCCACACTGGTCCATACTGATCTAGTGATGGCCACCGGTAAGCGTACTTCAAGCATTTTCGCACAGTCTGAGGTTTTGCCAGCCACTGGTTTTGAAAGCGCAGGTTGCCGCTGATCTTTTGCTTTGGAATAACTATGTCTATGTTTTCCAATGGCAAGATGCGACCTTCCTTCGTCGACCATGTTTGGGGGAGTACTTCATGGTAGAGATGTTGAACAAGGCCAACGGTAGTTTTGTTGCACTGGAATGCTGCGTGGTTGCTTTGCTTGTTCCTTTGTCTCTGTTTCGGTGTTGTTGCTTGCCCGCACACTTTTCACATTGAGGGGATACTGAAAAAGGCGCCCTCAGCAAAAATGACGACTGCTTCACGTTGCTACCGTGCTGGGTACATACGCTTTCGTTGTACAAACTTTGCAGCTGGTTATCTTCCATTGCCAGAGGTTTATGCATGTTTACGGGTTTTTGTTTGTTTGAAGACGTCGCAAATGACCTGCCAAGGCGTTGAGCTAGCTCTACTTAGAATGGGTCTTTCCGACATCCCGTGGTCTGATCTGCTGGATGTCATTTGGCTTAGTGAGGTAGACCGCGTCTGCTTGAAAATGCAAGAAGCCGTCCTATCTCAAGCTGGCCTCATGTTCTGGCTTGTCTATCGTTGGCAGTATTCAGCATAGGAGCACGTGTGCGCGGTACAGCGGATCAAACGTGAGGTGGTGTTTGCTTTTTTTGCATGAAGCAAAATGTGTCGGCGCAAGTCCTCATGGGTGAATTCGCAATGCAAAATTGACCATTGTCATGACTCATTTGTTCTGACATCCGAATGGCCCTGGACCAAACAGGTGAAGCTATACTTTTTTGGGCACTCTGCCAGCACTGGTTGGGGTCTTCACATTTGATTGTTGTCAAATCCAGAAAAGTTTCGATTCGTATCGTTTCATACAAGGCAGACAATCTTTTTAAGCTGAGTGCGCACAAACACACAGATGTCAGGGTGCTGACCCAAGGGCCAAAGGCATTGTTCTACAATGCCGCAAATACAAGCTGCTGACCCCAGGGCCAAGGGTATTGTTCAATGCCGTAGATGTGGCTTCGCCGGAGCCAGGCATTGACGCGTCTTTGTTTTGTAGATTCGGGGACAGCTCTTACCATAAATGGGACAGACAGATAGAAGCCACGCCAGTGCTGATAATTCGGTTCTTTCTTGGCTGCATCTTATGGGCGGAAGGCTGTTTCGTTTGACGCTTGCTGCACTAAAAATGGTTTTTGCAAGTTGCATAAAAATTGCTGGTGCGCAAGTTTCGTGGTGCGATGCCGACAGTTGCGAAACAGGTTAGTTGTTTCCGCGGTTGCATACGGTGTGTTGGTGGCCCGAAGCACTTTCTGTCCGGCAGGATTAGCCAGGCTCGGTACCATGTCACACCTTATGGCGGTTGAGATCTCTTTGTACATGTGCGAAGCTTGTCAGGCCTTCTCAACATGGGCTGGGGCGGCGGATGGGGCGGTAAAGGCAAGTTCGGTGGTGGCGGGGGATGGTCTCCATGGCAGCCCATGCAACTCAGCTTCCAATTTTGGGGTCATATTGTCATTCCTGCATTCTTGCAGCACGCCTGTAGAGATTGGAGCTTTTGCATGTGTGACGCAAGGTTCATGAAATGGGGCAAGGGCAAGGCCGGATCGTGACCAGCCGAAAACAGGACATGCACAGTGTTCTTGTTTTGATCGATTAAATCAAGCTGGGCGTGGATTTAAACCGTTCGCACCCAAGCCGTGGGTGCGTGATTTCCATGTGAGTTTGAAGGGTTTAATAAAAGGGGAACTTCAATGATTGATGCTGAGTTTTCCCCTCTGCTGGACAGGGCAAAGGCGGAGGGCTGAAGGTGGACCCGGCCCTGAAGTGCTGGATCGGGAACCTGGCGGAAGGGACCTCCTGGAAAGCCCTGCAGGACCACATGAACCAGGTGTCGGCTTGCTGCAAGTTCAGGTTTAGAGTCTAGTAAAGTTTAGTAGTTTAGTTTAGGTTTCGTTTGGTTTCGTTTGGTTTAGTTTAGTTTGCTGTGCGCGGGACTTGCGGATGAAAAGTCAAGTGTAGAAAGCTTATATGTTTTTTTGGACGCCTTGTCCGCGGGCGCGTGGGCCATCTTCAGCATTTAGTGATAGCAGCAACCGAGAAGAATTTCCACCTCCTCTCACCACCTCCTCTTCTGTTTGAAGAAAGAAGGAAGATGCCTCATGCTCTTTGATTCTTAGTGCTGCTCTGCGCAGGCCGGAAAGACCACATGGGTCGAATGTTTCAGTGGCAAGGGTTCTGGCACCGGTGGTGTGTCTTTCTCCACGGCGGAGGAGGCTGCCAATGCCATCACGATGCTCAATGGGACTGCCTGGGGCCAACAATACATCCCATAAACTCCCACAGCAAGCCCTTACTATTCTAATTCATCTTGACTTTCTTCGGTCAGGAGGATGCGTGATGTCGTTTCAATGTGTGCATATCTCGGTTTACGATTGGAATGTCTTGGATCGGGCACGCCTTGGCGGATGTCAAGGCACATGCGTCATGCCCTGACAGGAGCCTGCTAAACGGCCAGGCCATTATGGTGGATGTCTGGGTGAAGCAGTCTCAGCCTTCCTGATTGCGGAGCAGTCCTTGTGAGAGTCCGGTTTTGTACCGATTCAGAGCAGCCATGAGCGGTCTGTTTGCTCTGATGGCGCCCAGGCCGACGCTTCTCGCCCGAAGAAACCCCTAAACTTCGCAAGCCCTAAAGCCCGCCAAAAAATCACATTGTCCGTAGCTGAAGCCTTGGAGCGCTCTTCGAATGCCTCTATAACTGGCATTTTGCCAAGCGTGTGAAAAAAAACATAAAACAACGCTCAGAAGATGCACTAAAGAGTCGCTAGAGATGTGAATCCATGGAGCAGTCATGGCCATGCTGGGGATTTGAGACCCGGTAGTTGAATTTTTAACTCCCTCAGGCCTCAAAGCCAAATATGCAGAGCCTTGACAAGCAAATGAAGCAGAGTGCATGCTGCAGCCGACGGGAAATATCTGCATTTTCCGTCAATAGATCTCCTGACCCGGACATGCAAAGATGGCAAAAGTGTGTGAATGCCGCCCGCGGTTTGCATTTTGGATCAGATTTTTGCACAGCATTGTAGAGTTGAGAGACCGCGAGCCATTGCGTGCTTGAGAATCCGCTTGGATCCATCTAGGCTCCAAGAGCATTGGAAGTCGCTTTAGGTTTGTGCCGAGAAGGGGGCCATCAACGTCATGGCAGGCTGGAACCTTGAACTCAAGACCCTGAAGTTTGAGTAGGCTCGGTTGGGCTCACAGGGCTCACGGGTGAAGTCTTCAGTGATGGCAAACGGTGTTCACAAGAGGATTTGGATCTCCGTGAGGTGCCACCTGTCGCATGAACGTATCATGTCTTGGTCCAGCCGAAAAGTTTCATCTTGGTCTTGAAGCTTGCCTTCGGCTGTAGTTCAACTGCTTCCAACTCGTTCATCTGATGCTGACGTTGTCTCGAGAGGATCCTATCTAGGTGCTAGACTGTTGGCCAAGCACTGAGTTGAAGGCCTTCCAGCAAATCGTAAGAAGACGACAAGACTCGATTAGACTGCCTGAAGGCCGCTTTGGGCTTTTGAGGCCCTTTTAAGTACCTGGAGCATCCAAAGATGTCCAAATATTCCTAAATGGGTCCCAAAGCTCTCTTAGGGCTCGGCCTTGGCCTTGCGAAAGGGCGCCAAAGCCTGTGTCAGCCCGCGCAATTGTCTGTAAAGCTCCGTCATTTTTGCGACTGTGCCTTGCTAGCGACTCTTCAGAGCTCTCCAGTTGCTGTATTGAAAATCAACATTGGTGGCAAGGATCGCCTGCTGCCTGAACCAGAGGGGCGGAGGATCCCAATTTGTAAAGGCAAAACCCTAAGCACGTGAAGCACGACAACGCCAGGTGCCCGAGCGGAGGGCAGGACTCCCCTGAACCTCTCTGAAACCGTTTAGCCCCCAAAAAACGAAGCCCTCACAAAACATTTCTACAGCTCGGAGGCCAGCTGAGTGCGAGCCTCGGTCATGCCGCGGCTGCAGGGTCTCTGGGAGAAGGGTTCGAAGTTCTTTCGTTTGCTTCGTTTGCTTGTTTGGGATCACACGCAGTCTGAGCACCGAGCGGGACTGCGAGAGCGGGTGATCGGAGGCTTTTGGCTTTATAGGTTTTGTGCCGCCCTCACACGCAGTGGTCGGCCTGTTCTACTTGCTACATCACGCAGTTGTCAAGGGCTTGGCTTGAAGAACTGACAAATTTCGGGTGGCGTTCAGGGCCATGAGGCCTCATCTCGATAACCATGAGCATTGAAGGCTCCGCCCCAGCAGCTAAGGTCAAAGGTCAAACCTCGAACCCTGGAGATGCCCCTTCAAAGCACATCAAAACATGCCAGTTTTTTAAGTGTATGCATTTGGGGGCGGCCAAGCCCAGAAGTTCTCGAGTCAGGTTGTGAGGTGCAGCCTCCCGAGCCCGGGCCTTTGCCACCGCGGCCTTTGCCCTTTACCATCGAGGGTCTCGCTGCTTTATATATATGGCCAAAGGTCCCTAGTGTCTTTGTTTTTTTCAAAGTTCTTGGTTGACGTAAGGTGTGTGGTATCATGTCGTGCTAGACGTCCACGGGCCACCTGCAATCTTTCCTCATCTGCAAGTATGGTGCATGTGAGGCGTTGCAAAATGCTTGCATAAAGCGTGCATGTGCCAGCGACAGTTGGCTAAGTCTCCGTAAGTTGCAACTTATGCAGCTCAAGGAGTTTAGCACAAGTGAGATTGACCTTAGTTGCGGCTTAGACACAGATAGAGCATAGTTAAAGAGAGTATATGTGATGAACGGCAGCATTGTAAGCTTCACCTGCCAGGCGTGTGATTCCTTTTCCAGTTAGATCTGCCAAACGGCAATCCCTGAGAGACCACCACCCGGCAACTGTCCTGCGGCTGCCCCGCGGCTGTGAACCCCACACACGAAGCCACATCCTATGCGCGATTCAGGAGTGAGATGCTCTCGCAGACCATGCAAGAGCTCAGCGATGGGGACTCGCCGAGATGTGTTTGGTCAGTTGAGTCAAGCTAGATACCAAAGTGCCCTTTGACAACGAGCCGCGAGCCTGTCATGGGCAGTGGTTCAGTCATGGCGGTCGTCGAAGGAATCATGTTCGGCATGTTGTGCAGAAGGAGTCTGCTTTGCAGGACATGCAGCACGTGGACATTCTGGAGCAAGCGCGCCGCGAGGCCGTTTCTTGGAGGAGGGATGTGCGACCCAATCCGTCTTGGCCTTCATGCATGCTAGAAACGAAGTAAGACTGAAATCCTGCCAGAAGCTGCTTCCGAGCCTGGAAGGTGCGTACTGCTCGACGAATTGCGGTTGCCTCGCTGCTCCTGGCTGGTCGGAATCCCAGGTTTTTCTGGCTCAGCTTTAGTCACTTTAGTCTCGTGAGTCTAGTACTTGAGCTAAGAGGCGGGTGTTTGCAGGGTTTCAGGTATCATCAAGTACACTTCGATGAAGAGCATGTAGCAGTTGGGAATCAGCGGTAGCTTTGGAGTTGCGTCGACTCGAGGCGCGGCGTGCGCTGCATGTGTCGCCGTGGCATTGCCCATGTTGGATGCCTGGCTACGCTGAACCCACCCTAAATCCTAAGACCACCTTACGCCCTGAGCTGTTAACTTCCAACCCTTAACCCTCATCCCAACCCTAAACCCTTAGTCCAAACTCTAGAGCCTTGGGGTGAAAGAGGCGTCCAGTTGAGGGTCCAGGTATGGACGTCGATGGGGCCTCAGAGTATGGAACAAGTAATGACGGCTGCAAGGGGTGTCTTCTTTTCGGTCGGTAGTGGTTTGCTGAGACAGACCACTGCTGGTCAGCATATGCCCCCACCTCCCCCTCCGCCCCCCCTTGGTTCATGGTGGGTTTTGGTTTGAGGGTTTGCTGTGGTTCATGGGCTGGGTGTCATGGTGGGTTTAGGGCTTTACACAAGGCGTCCCGTGGCTACTGGTGGGTTTAGAGTTTGGGGTTTAGGGTTGAGGGTTTAGGTTTAGGGTTTCCCCTCTTTCCTGAGTGATTCCTGGTGGGTCTAGGGTTCAGGGTTTAGGGTTCTGGGTTAAGGTGGTTCAGGCTTCGGGTTTCCCCTTCCCTCCTGGGGTTCGTGGTGGGTTGAGGTTGTAGGTCTCAGGATTCAGGATGGGTTTCCCTCCCTCCCCATGATGGGTTCAAACGCTGTACAAAAATCCTCATGGAATTCATGCGTCCTCTCTTCACACATCGTTCTTGTAAAATCATTGCACTCTCTACACCTTCATACCCCATGAGGAATAGTACTCCTTCGAGATGCTTTTCATGGGTTGGAAACCGATGAATAATCCACAAAAACGTCCAGGAAATCTACATCTGATGGTTATATTACTACTACGGGTGAATAAAGATTCCTGCAAAACCCGGTTATCAATGGAGATCAGGTGTTCGATCATATTTTCACCCAAAAGATTCAATTAAAATGCCTTTTGACAACCGTATTTTCCGGTAATAAACGCCTGAGCGAATGAGCGCGTGGACTCAGTGAACGGGTGAACGGAGTGAACGGCCAGGGTTTGGGGAGGGACACATGGCCAGGAATGGGGGGGATGGTGGGGGAGAGCATGGGCACATGTATGGCAAATAGGGCATGTTCACCTGCATGTGCGCTTCTGTGGTCATCTTGAGCACGAGTGCCGACCACGAGGCTTACCGCCCGCACATACCCAGCCCAAGTGCAGCGCAACGAGGTGCGGGGTTTTTCTGGAGGTGTGCAAGTGTAGCTGTGCCAGACATGCCGAGTCTTATTTCAATAGCTGCACTTGCAAATGTGTGAGCTCAGCTGCTGTTAGGAAGTCTATGGTGCATGTCATGTCTGGCATATTTTCGAGCCTTCAGCGTTGAGCCCTGAATTCTGACATTCGAAAATGCGGAGGAAACCGTGCTGGATGAGACGATCTACCCTCTGTTTCCAGGCGCAGCTGTCTACTTTTTCCAGCGGCTCGGTATTGGTGTTTGAGAGGACACCAGGCTCCGTGAAGGCTGCACACCCCTTCGCTGAACTCCTCTGAAACCTTTGGAGCTCTCAATGCCTCAAACTGCTTCAGCGCTAAACAGGCATGCCACAGCTTGATATTGGCTGGGCCAAATGCGTCACCAATGCGGCAGCATCCTTGGCATCCCAGATGTCAGGCAGTTTGTATCTTGTGCTTGAGCTGTTGGGCACAGGAGCCGTAGACGTAGGGAGAATGCGCACACTTTCGCACCATAGGATATTCCTGGGTCGCTACTTCTTCTTGTGCTAATACCTGCATCCGTTAGGAACCTCTTCATTTGGTCCAAGATTTCCCCCCGTGCCTCAGCAGTCCTGTTTACTTTAACCAAAAGCAGGATACATTCGAACAGGATTACTGGGTTTCTGGTGACATACTCAACATCGATTAAGACGCCCAGTATGACATCTTAAAGTCGTAGTAAATGCCATCTAGCATTTCATGAACATCCTGTTCTGCCCTGTTCTGCTGTTCTATGACAAGTTTTCACTTTCCGAGAACCGCTGAAATTTTATCAGCCACCTATGACCAGATTGAATTCCT